CGGACGCGTGGATGTGGCTGTCATAACACGAACACTCCGCGCCGTGCCGCGCCACCAAAGGGCCGCGTGCACATGCCGCCCGAGGCCCTGGCGGGGCTGGAGCGGGGCCGGGTCGGGCCAGGGGCGGCTGGAGCCCGCCTGCATGGACCAACTCGCGCGCAGGAGACAGAGGGGGACGAAGTTTGGCCGGGGCGGGGCGGGGCGGGCAATGGGGATGGGGGCAACGAGGTACACGACACGCCAGGCGCGAGGAGCGCAAAGGAGGGGAACAGGCCAAATTTTGACGCGAAGTTTGTGGCTGCTCTCGCCGGTGTGGCGCGCTAGCCTGCGCCAGCCCAGCCGACCCCCGTGTGCGTGCGGCCGTGTGTCCGTGTGGGGCGTACGTACACGCCATGCAAATTGAGGCAGTATCGCGTACAAGGCCGCGTCATGGACCTGCGCCGCGCTGCGGTGTGGAGTGGAGAGGTGCTAACACTAATTCCCCCGCCCGGCCCGGACCCACACCACACCCGCGCCACGCCCACGCAGCCAGGCAGCGAGGGCTTGTCGAGTCGAGACTTTGAACGGAGTAAAGTAGATTAAACGGGCTCTGGAGTGGAGTGTGTGCAGCGAGCGGGCAATTCGCCTGCGTCAGCCAAATGCCATTCGTACCTGTTGGGGTGGATGCCCTGTTCGAGTTGAGAGCGAGGCGCGAAGCGCGCTTCCCCCGCGGCCGTTAATTTTGATGCCGTTGTCAGAGAAAAGAGAAAAGTTGGGGAAAGTGCGCGCCGGCCTCGGGAAATCCATTTGGCCGCGGCGTAGCCTCGCAGCGGGGCGCAGTGGGGCGAGCGTGGAGTTCGACGCGCTGCCGCGCGCTGCTGCGTGTAGTGCCATCGGTACATGCCATAACTCTTCCTTATTGTTTCTCACCTCTGCCGCCAGCGCGGCATGGCCTCGGCCACGGCCTCGGCGCCCCGAGCCTCACACCCTCACCACCTCGCCACCTCGCTGCCGGACAGCGACGTCCCCTGAAATGGAGTTGCCGGTGGCGGTGGAAAATTTACTGGCCAAAGTTTGAGTCGTATTTGGTTGGTTATGAAGGTGCGCGCTGCTGCGGGGCGTGCGGGGCGTGCGGGGCGAAGCGAGGCGAGGGGGCGAGGGTGGCAGGCACGACAAGGCGCCATCACGCCGAAGCTGCAAGCAGCCGCCGGTTTTACGGCGATCGCGCCGCGCTGTCTGCGGCCTGCCCCGTCCCAGAGGGCCGTCGCGCTGCCCTCTCGCACCTCCACGACGCGCCCCAGGAGTGCCGGCAGTGCGAGGCAGACAGAGCGACGACAGCCATTTTCGGAAAGCCGCGCGTGCCCGCCGGTTTAGCGCCGCGTCGCGTTTACTCGCCAGTGCCAATTTCTGCTCACGTTTTTACAGCCCAGCCGCCCCCACGTTTTGTTTACTGCCCGACTTGCCCGCTCACGGCCTCCTTGTCGTTTTGCAGGCAAGACGTGCGCACGTCGACGGCCCGCAAGAACGACCAGCTGGCGGCGCAGTGGGTGACGGCCTCCGTGTCGGAGCTGCGCGCCGAGCTGCTGGAGCTGGCCCGGGCGCACAACGAGAGCGCCGAGCGCGCGGCCCGCAACGACCTCCGCACCCAGGTGCGCCTGGCCCGCGCCGACGCCGCCTCCACGCGCCGCGAGCTGGAGCGCCTCCGCGCCGACCACAGCCGCGCCGTCGCCGACCTCACGCAGGCCCGCCAGGACGTGGTGTCCCTGCGCGCCGCCCACCAGCTCGCCGCCAAGAAGTGCGCCGAGACCCGCCAGCAGGTGAGTCCAACCACGATGCAGGACGACGGCCTGACGGCCTGAAGACACCCCTTTCTTGCACGACGGTGACCTCCGCGGGGTGGTTAGAGGGGGGGATGATGGAGGCGGCGAGGAGGCGGCGCAGGGTGCAGCCAAGCGCCGCGACGGCGCCACGGCCGCGGGGCAAAGCACACACACACGCACACAGACACAGACGCACACACACACACACACACACACACCACGACACACAGGCTGCGGCGCGCCGTGCCGGCCGTGCCTCGTTGAGCCTGCTGCCTTGATGCTGGTGCACTTGACGAGGACGGGGCGGGGCGGGAAAGAATAATGGCGGACGAGAAAGGACCAGAGATAAGGTGGCGCGAGATGGAGGGAGAAAGACAAGACAAGAAAAGGGGGAATGGAGTCGAGTCGCCTCGCCCACCCTCTCCAGCGCGTCCGTCCAGCCAGCGCTCCAGCCCCGCGCTTCCAGCAGCCACTTGTCCAGCCAAACCGGGCGGCCCGGCCCGGCCCGGGGAGGGCCGACACGGTGTGCGACGCGTGTTAGTGTGTGTGGCTCTTTGAAGGGGCCTCCCGCCCGCTCGGAGGGGACGCTCACAGAGACAGCGGCTTTTAGGGGATGTATTTTCGCCGCACACGTTCTGGTTAGGGTTCGGACAGCAGCCGGGAGGGGCGCTTGCACGGCGCCTCTGTGTTGACCTTGGCGGCGGTCTTCATGTAGTGCTGCAGGGGTTGGGCAAGCCGCGCTGTTGTGCCGCCGTGACCCACTTGTATCGTCGTCATCACCGTCATCATCATCAAGCAGTGCAATGCGCGGCGACGCACAAACACAGGAACCGCCGCTGGGTCCGGCCAGGTGGGGGCAGGAATGGCCCCGACAATGCTGTCGGCAATGCCTGTCGAGGTGGCGGCGGGCCCAGGACGGCATTGCGGCCCGCCCTGCAGAGGGGCCGGCCTGGCCTCGTCCTCGCGCCGGGCCAAAAGAATTCCACGCAGCTGTCTCTCTCGCACTCATGGACCGCGCCGCGAAGGTGCGAGAGAGACGGAGCGACAAAACACTGTACGGAGTCAGTCTGCCGGCCCGGCCCGGCCCGGGGCCCCGGCAGGGCAGGGCGACTCCAACACCCTCCCTTTGTGTCGCGAACGACGCGTGGGGCCGAGGGAGGGGGGGAGAGGGGGCCTGTCCAGCCAAACGTGGCGTTATGGTGGTCACGTGACGGCAGCACAGCCAGCCCAGCGCGGCGTCTGGAGTCTGGACATGGACCGAAATATAACGAACGCGTGCGCACCAACACAAACACACTCGCAATAAACACACACGGACACGGCGGGCACGGCCGCACAACGCACACAGACGCAGCGGGTCAAAGTAAAGATACGTCCGCCCTGCGGCCCCGCCCGGTCCTGCCAGGCCCTGCCTGCCCCACTGCGAAATCGATGTCGCGCAGGTTCAGCAATTTTATCGGTATCGAGAGGGGCGGGCCGCCCGGCCGCCCGGCCGCACTACCCAATTTCGCGTTGACAGAAAACCAAATCTGTTCGCCCTCTTTATTTTTATTTTATTTTTCATTTCTTTTCCATCTCGTCTGTTATTTTCCCCCTTTTGCGCGCGGCCGTCCCTCCCGGCCTCCGCGCTGCCGCCGCGGTGGAGTGCTGCATTTTCGCCGCGGCGACGACGCGCCCCGTTCCTCGTCCTCCGCGGTCCTTCCCCTGGCCCTTCCTTTCGGCCGGCGGGCCGCGCGTCGCCGCGTCGCGCACACCGTATTTCCTGGCGAAGCCCCAGCAGCCCAGAGCCTTGCCCAGAGCCTTGCCCAGAGCGAGGCAGAGCGAAGCAGAGAGGCAGCGACGCGGAGGGAAAGGTGTTCCAGCCCGCCCGGCTGTCTTGATCCTTCGGCCCGCTAAGCCCGCCGCCCCGCCGCCCTAGCTCCACTCCACGCTGACTCAACCTAAACGTCTAGCAAACCGGAGAGGGGCGGACAGAGCGGGATTTCGGGGCAGAGGCGCGGCGCAGCGCTGCGAAATTGGAGACGGAAAGGGGGAGGGGGAATGGCGAGGCTGACCGCCGCCGTGTGGCCGGGCCGCTCGGCCAAACAGGTGTGAGATGATGATGGTCCAGATGCTCCCCCAGCACCGGGCTGGGCTCTCCGAGGAGCACCCCGCCGGCCTGCCGTGCTTCGCCTTGGAGGCTTCGCCGCGGCCGCGCCATCCGGCCGATCAGCCGCCAGGTCCTTCCGGCTCCCCATCCCCCTGCTGGCCCCGAAGTAGGGCAGCGAGGTGGTGCCGCAGGGACGCTCGAGACTGCGTGGCGCAGCGCGCAGAGTCGCTTTCGTCGCTCTGTCTCTCTCGCACCTGTGCGGGATGCCCCGCGAGCGCGAGAGAGACGCAAAGGACTCCCGGAATCAGTCTGCAGCCTAGCGAGGCAGCGCTTTAATTCGCCCTAATCCGGCGTGCCGGTTAGGAAGTACCTCTTTTGCCTAATTGTCCTCGCTTTGCGCGCGACGCGGCGCGACGCGACGCGATGCCAGGCCGACTATGGCCGACTCCGGAGTGCTGTCCTCGCTCGCTGTCTCTCTCGCACTCGGGGCGTCCCCGGCGTCCCGGCGGGGTGCGAGCGAGACAGAGCGACAAGTGCTGTCCTGTTCGTAATCAGCCACGGGCCCCCCGGCCCCCTCGGGCGAGGCGCGGATAGCCCGAATCCCTCCCGCAACGAGTTTGGCGTGCGGCCCTGGGCGCCGTGAGCTACGCGCTACGGCCTGCGAGCTACGCCCTGCGCGCTGCGAACGGGCCATGCCTCCATTTGCGGGGCCGGTGACTCACCGCGCGCTCCCTCCAAGGTTCCTAGGCTTGGAGGTTCGGAGGCTCCAAGGTTCCAGGGCACACACACCCTGCCCTCGGTTCTCGGCCTCACGGCGGCGCGCGACGACCCCTGCGGGCGGAGCGCCCCGCCGCCACCGTTCCCCCAAACGACTTGCGACATTGCCGCGCTTTGTGGAATTCAATTTGGCGGGATTTGTGGCGGCCCGCCACTTAGGGCCACTGGATGTGCGCGGGGAGGGGGAGGGGCGGCAGGGCGGCAGTCGCAACCTGCGCGGCCGCGCCATATCGCATTGTGGCCGCCGCCTTTTTCATTTACCGCGCATCGATTCGCGAGGTCACCGCCGTGGAGCCTGCCGCCTGCCGCGCCCCTGCCTCCCGCCAGGGACATATGATTTCATGAGAGGACGTTTCATTCGGGCCAGCCTCTCGTCGCTCGGTCTCTGTCGCACTCGTGGGCCTGCTGTGGGTGCGAGAGAGACTGAGGGACTCAGACGCCAGCCCGAGCCAGGCACTCCGCGGGCTCCGCGCTCCACGCTCCGCGCCCCGCCGGGGATATGGGTCGCGGCGTCGCGGCGGATGGCCCCGGAGAGTGCCTCGTCTCGACGCCGCTCTGCTCGTCCTGCCCGTCCCGCCCGTCCTCCCCCAGCCGTTCGAGGCCGTCATCCGCCAGGCGGCAATCGCCGGGCAATCGGCGTGATGCGTTGCCTCCCCGCCGCCCCGTCGACGGCGTCCTCGAGGGGTGGGCGTCAAAGGCGTCAAAGAAAGGGCGCCGGAAGAGCCGCTGATTTGGCGCGCTGCTGCTGCTGCCTCCGGGATTAACTGAATTCAACAAGAATTTTCTCCCCCAGTCCGCACGCCCCGCAGTTTCTTGTCGTTTCCTTGAAAAGAAAATAAGTGCGGGGCAGACGGCCTGCTGCCCTTCCTGCAAAATCCTTCCTCCCTCTCCGCTGATAATCACGTTGAGCTCCAAGGCCGGGCTGCCGGGGCGGGGCTGCGGCCTCTCTCTCCACAAGGATGCATCACACCGCCGTGCCGCGCTGCCGCGCTAAATCCGGACTCCGGGCCGCCTAGCCCGGACGGGTAACAGCGTTCGTGTCGCCACGGCTGCCATGGCCACCTCGACAGTGGAGCGGCGTGTCGTCCAACTTTAATTCGACACTGCCAGGCGTGGTTCTCTGGCGATACTCGTTCTCCCTGTTCGCTTTCCTCTCCCTTCTCAAATGAATAAATCGCTAGATCCTCTCTGTGTGGCGGCGCGCTGCTCGGCGGCTTTGCTCTCATTCCTGCCGTTTATAGTCCGCCGCTGTCGGCTATCCCTCCGCAGAAAAAAGGCACAAATCCGTTGCGTGCGTTTGCAGACGTTGCCCAACCGGACAGCGCGCCTAAAAAACTAGCAATAACCCGGCCGGGCCGGCACAGGCGGCACAGCGTGCCTCAGCCACACGTGCGTGTTTTGCCCTCATATTCCATCCGCGCTGTCCTATCTCTGCGCCATCGCGGAGGCCGAAGGGCGAAGGGCCTGGAGCGCGGCGGCCACCCTAGCTCCGGGCCTCCGTGTAGGGGAGAGACGGCGGGGACACTAGGCGCTATGGCCTGGAGCTAGGGTGGCCACCTCCACGCCGCGCCTCGCCGCGCCAGAAGGTCCAACGGCCATTGTCGGCGGCGCGGTGGTCCATTTTCCCTGCCGGGCCGGCAGTGGCGTGGCTGGCAGTGGCGTGGCGGCATTCGGCTGAATCGCGCTCGATATTGGATAGCATATCTACAATGGGCAAGGGCCGCCGAGGGCCGCGCCGCGCGATCTTACCTGCCCCGCCAGCGCCGGCAGGCCAGGCCGACCGGCTATCTCCGTCTCCCTCGCGCTCGCGGGGCGCCCCGTGGGGGTGCGAGAGAGACGGCGCCCTTCGGAATCAGCCTGCAGCGAGCGCCCCGGGCCCGGCCCGTAAGTGCGCGTCCCGTATGGCCGTGCGGCACAAAGGACCCCGAGTGGATTCGGGCAAAAACGGCTTTGTGGAGCGCGGCGGGGCGGGGCGAGGCGGGGCGCGGAGCCCCGATAGCCGCGCCACACCTTGACGCGTGAAAGGGGCGCGCGGTGTGGGGACCTTTGTTCTTCAGGTTCGGTGGGTTGCTTCATCATGCGGCGCAGCGAGCGCCCCGCGAGCGACCCGCCCAGCGCGAGCTGGAGCGAGGAGTCCAGTCCGGGCCTCCATGCCGCTCAGGCAGGCCCGTAA